ACGACAACAACAACAACAACAACAACAACAACAACAACAACAACAACAACAACAACAACAACAATTACTAGCACGTGGGGACACTCCGTTCTCACCAGTGCCAGGGTTTTCATAGGAGGCGGGCAATACCCCCACTTTGTGGGGGGGCCGGTTCAAGCTCTACCAAATTTCCAAACGACTCTTCGCCACCACCCACACCCAGCTTCCCGCCCTATGACGTTCGGACACTTCACTTCGTGGCATGCGGACGACCGTGGCTACTATTCAGGGCCCCGCGGCCGACGACGACGGCGTGCGCGCGCGAAGAAAAAACGAATGTGTCCCGCATGGTATTATTTGACAGGGATGATGGCCCTGGCAGGTGCGCAACCGTTGTTGCAGAAGTTCGAAAAAGTTGCTCGCAAAAGCCCGTTTGACAGAAATGTTTAAAAAGTGTTGGGTTTCCTACGAATCCGCAAGAGCGCGCGGGATGAGATTTTGACAATTGTTTGTTGAAAAACCATTGGTTTTTTGATGTTTTTATGTTAAAATCGCTGCGAACACTAAGGTTTTGGAAGGATTTCGTCTTGCGCGCGCGAATGTCCACTTTACCTTATTTTTTGCAAGGGATTCTTGAAATTTGATTATATTAGAACAAGAAATGTCATTTTCTATTGTTTTTTGCAAGGGAAAGCGGATTACAACAAAACAACCGGATCCTGTACACACCCTCTTTTCTGAGGCTTCCTCACGAAAATGATGAAAATGTAGCTGCGGCCTAGGCGGCGCAGGGGGGGCGCGCACCAGGGGGCCCAACAATAATTATTCTTTAGAATAAATAATGTTCAACAACAACAACAACAACAACAACAACAACAACAACAACAACAACAACAACACCATCACCACCACCAACAACAACAACAACAACATCAACGAAAATGACAGCCACAGCAACAACAACAACGACAACAACAAAAACAACAACGACAACGACAACAACAACAACAACAACAACAACAACAACACCAACGACAACAAGAACAGCAACAGCAACAACAACAATCATTTTATGACTGTTCGCTCTGATCTGCTCGAGTGCCCGTTGACGCGTAGTTCCCAAACCCTCGATACCAGCCCTCTTCGTCTTCGATCGTACCCCTTTTGGAGGGTATACCTTTCTTCCCTGCAGGCCGGGCCCCGGCAAGCGGCGGACCCACGGACCGTCGGCCTGGCCAGCGGCAGCGCTGATCGGCGGCAACCCGACCCCAAGGGGGATGGACAGGGGACCGACCACGATGACGACGACGACGACGTCGTCGACGACGGCGACAACTACGACGACGACGACGAGCGAAAGCGAGAGCGAGAGAGAGAACGACAGCAGGGCCACGAAAGGCACGAAGTAGGCCACGAAGGGCGACAGCGGGGACACGAAGGGAATGCGTATGGAGCCACGAAAAGCGCGACCGAGCGGGGGCCACGAAGTGCAGAAAATAGGGCCACGAAGGCAACGACGGGGCCACTGAGGGCAGCAACTGGGCCACGAAGGACAGCGAGGAGGCCTCAAAAGGCGACAGCGGGGCCACGAAGGGCATGCACATGCGGCCACGACGGGCGAGAACGTGCAGGGCCACGAAGGGCATACGTTTTGGGCCGCGGAGGGCAAGGACGGGGCCACTGAGGGCAGCAACGGGGCCACGAAGGGCAGCGAGGGGGCCACGAAGGGCGACAGCGGGGCCACGAAGTGCATGCATATGGGGCCACGACGGGCGCGGACGAGCGGGGGCCACGAAGGGCATACACATATGGGGCCACGAAGGGCAGCGAGGGGCCACGAAGGGTAGCGAGGGGGCCACGAAGGGCTGCAACGGGGCAACGAAGGGCAACGAGGGGGCCACACGGGGCTGCAACGGGGCCACGAAGGGCAGCGAGGGGGCCGCGAGGCGCTGCAACGGGGCCACGACGGGCAGCAAGGGGGCCACGAAGGGCTGCAACAGGGCCACGAAGCGCAGCGAGGGGGCCACGAAGGGCTGCAACGGGGCCACGAAGGGCAGCGAGGGGGCCACGAAGGGCTGCAACAGGGCCACGAAGCGCAGCGAGGGGGCCACGAAGGGCTGCAACGGGGCCACGAAGGGCAGCGAGGGGGCCACGAAGGGCTGCACCCGATTCATAAATAATGTGTGAGGGAGTCATAGGCGTGAGCGCGACTCCTGAGCGCCTGAATGTCGGGAGCGCGGCGCTTGAGTAAATTGCCGGAAATTCCAACGCAAGGGCGCTATTCTTCAGTAAATTGCAAGCACGTCTCCAGCGAGAGCGCGACTCCAGAGCGCCGAGAGAGCGATTCCTTAATAAATTGTAAGGAAGTCCCAAGCGAGAGCGCGATTCTTGAATAAAATGCCAGAAAGTCTCAGGCGGGAGCGGGGGTCCTGCCTAAATTGTGAGGAAGTCTCAAGCGGGAGCCGTTGTTGTTGTAACCTGGGGGCCAGGGGCACAATTTGAGCCTCAAAACTTTCCCTGATAAGAAACAGTGTGCGAGCGCCGGGAGGGGCACTTCAGTTGAAAAAAACAGTATGCACCAGTGGGGGGATCAACAACCATTATTCTTCAGAAATGAGAGCTCAACAACAACAACTACAACTACAACAACAACAACAACAACAACAACCACCACCACAACAACAACAACGACAACAATTACAACAACCAACAAAAACAACAGCAACAACCACAACAACAACAACAACAACAACAACACCAACAACAGCAACCACAACAACAACAGCAGCAGCAGCAACAGCAACAACAGCAACGACAACAACAACAACAACAACAACAACAACAACAACAACAACAACAACAACAACAACAACAACATTACGACAACAACAACAGCAGCAGCAACACAAACAACAACAAAAACAACAACAACAACAATAACAACAACAACAACAATAACAACAACAACATCAACAACAACAACAACAGCAGCAACAACAACAACAACAACAACCACAACAACAACAACAACAACAACACCGGCGACGACGACGACGACCACAACAACAACAACAACAACAACGACAACAACAACAACAACGACAACGACAACGACAACGACAGCGACAGCAACAACAACGACAACAAAAAAGCAACAGCAACAACAGCAACAACAGCAACGACAACAACAACAACAACAACAGCAACAACAACCACGACGGCAACCACACAAACAACAACAACAACAACCACAACAACAACAACCATCACAGCATCAACAATAATAACAACAACAATAATAAGAACAATAATAACAGCAACAAGAACAACAACAACGACAGCAACCACAATCACAACACGAACAGCGACAATAACAGCAACACTAACATAAGCAACAACACTAACAGCGACAACTACAATGAGAATTACAATAACAAAACAACAACGACCACAACAACAACAGCAACAACAACAGCAACAACAATACTAACAAGGGCAATACCAATGACAACAGCAAGAATAACACCAAAAGCAACAGCAGCAGCAACAGCAACAGCAACAGCAACAGCAACAGCAACAACAACAACAACAACAACAACAAACTCGACGAGGAGACCCGCCGCAGGAGCGTCGTCTTGGGCCTCCTCCTGTCTCCTCCTCCTTCTACTCCTCCTCCTCCTCCTCCTCATCCTCCTCTCGGCGGCGAGCGAGGAGGGGGAGTGAGAAGGAGAAGGCCTTCTCAGAAGGCGGTGGGACCTTTCAGAAGGCCTCCAGCCTTCTGAGATGTCTTCTGCGTCTTCGGGGAAGGCAAAGAGAACTTCTCTCAGGGGCTTCCGAGCCTTCAGAGAAGGCCCGCCCCTTCTCACTTCCCACCCGGGCGCACCGCCGAAAAAAGGGTGCGATGCCTAACAGCGATTGCTATCAGAAACCGACATCGAGGATTCTCGGGTTCGGAAGCCGTCGCCGCTCCAGGGGCCTCGGCCCAGGCTCGAGCCCTTGCACTCGCCCAGGCGTCCATTCCTCGTGCACGGTTCGGCTTCGTGCCCGCTGTTTTCCCCAACCATCCTGTGGTGTTAGGTCGTCGTTTTGAATACGCATCGCCCCGCGTCCGTCCTTCCTCCTCCCCCCCCTCCGTCATCCCTCCTCTTGCTCCTGCTGCCGCTCTCCACATGTGCATTTCGGCACACCCCTCCCACGGTTCGTGGCCCCACACGGAGCCCCACCGAAGGCCCTGCAGCGGCTGCGTTCGCATGACAGCCCCGCCCCTGACTCGAGACACCCATCACACATTCCGTGGCTCCATAGGGAGCTTCATCGCACGCACCAGTGGCTGCGTTCGCATGGCGGCCCCGCACCCGACTCGAAACACCCCTCACACGCTTCGTGTCCCTGTAAGGGACTCCACCGGTCGCCAGTGGCTGCGTTCGAATGGCGGCCCTGCACCCGACTCGGCACATCCCTCGAATGCTTCGTGGCCCCATAGGGAGTTCCAACGAAGGCTCCAGTGGCTGCCTTCGCATGGCAGCCGCGCACCCGATTCGACACATCCCTCCCACGTTCCCTGGCTCCAAAGAGACCTCCGCCGAAAGCCCAAGTGGCAAGGTCCGCATGCGGGCGTCACACCGATTTCGGTGCACCTTTCACGCTCTTCGTGCCCCCATGAGGAGCTCCACCGAGAGCCCCACTTGCTGCGTTCGCACGGCTGCCCCGCGCCCGACTCGGCCCACCCCTCACACGCTTCGTGGCCCTATAACGAGGATGCTCTCAACCTCGTTACTCACGTCTGCACATGGTTGGGCCCTTTGCCCGAGCGGGGAGGAACGAGGATGGCGAGGAGCGAGGGGAGGAGCGGGGAGAAGCGAGGAGGGCGAGGAAGAGGAGCGAGGAGGGGGCGGAGGAGGAGGAGGAGGAGGAGGAGGAGGAGGAGAAGGAGGAGGAGGGGGAGGAAGAGGAGGAGGAGGAGAAGGAGGAGGAGGAGGAAGAAGAGGATGAGGAGGAGGAGGAGGAGGAGGAGGACCTCTGTGGCTGGCCTTGGCGAGAAGCACGCCCACGCCCGAGCGACGCCAAGACGCCCGAGGCTCCTCGAGCTCAGCGGGCCGACCCGTGGCGCCCCCGACTCTCGCGGGGGCGGCCTGCGCCGCGGGCCTCCCCCGGGCGAGTCTGCCAGACCCAGACGTGTGCTTCCCAGGGAGGGCCTCGGGTGCGACGCTTCGGGTTCGAGGTTCGAGGCTCGAGGCGTCATCCCCGTCGGGTCTCGGCGCCAGCAGCAGCGCCTGGCCGCCAGCGGTCTTCGGGGGCGCGCAGACATGGATTGGCGATCCGTGGACTTCGCGCGCGGTCGCCAAATCCATGGATCGAAGGAGGTGCCCTCCCCCAAATGCGGCCGGTGCTGCCTCGCTCTGCGGCAGAGGCCCGCGACTCCCCCTAGGAACGGGACCCGTCGCAAATCCACGCCCACCTGATCCATGTTTGCGATCGCCTGAGTTCTAGGGCTGCCCGGATCGAGCTCGAGCTCCGAGCCGCCGCCCGGAAATCCCCCGCGGAGGGCCACGGGCCGCCCTGCCTCGTCGGCGGCGCCGCCGGCGGGGGCCGCGTCCGCGGCGGCGGCCGGCGCGGCGGCGTCGCCGCCCTTTATCCTGGCGGGGTGGCGGTCTGAGAGCCCCGCGGAGCCCGCTCACTCGTCTTCTCCTCCTCCCTCCCTCCCTCTCTCCCTCTCTCCCTCCCTCCCTCCAACCCTCCCTCCTCCCTTCCCCCCGTCCCCTCCCCCCCCCCTCCCCTCATCGCCCCCTCCCCCCCTCCCCCTCGCCCCTCCCCCCCCCTCCCTCCCCTCCCCCCCTCACCCCCGCCCCCCCGCCCCCCGCCCCCCGCCCCCCCCCCCTCCCTCCCCCCCCCTCCCAACCTTCCCCCCCTACCACCCTCCCCCACTCGCCCCTCCCCCCTCCACAATTACACAATATACTATGCTCCCCTCTCTCCCCTGACCCTGTCGGGAGAGTCTCCCGACCTCTCCGCGTATTGTATTTTTCCCACTGGGTTTCATGATTTGGTTTTCCAGTATCTGGTGCTCCCACATTTTTGCTCCCGCTGCAGCGCCGCCCTTGTTTCTGCGCTTCGGTCATTCAAAATCGTGCTTCCGCTGCAGTGCTGTCCTCGTTCCCACGCCTCCGCACGGCACTTGGCATTCGAAATCGCCCACATCGGGTAGGCACGGTTGCGGAGGACATGGAGCCGGCATTCCAAACAGGCCCTGTCCTCTCGTAGACGGGCCGCTTACCCTCCAAGTCATCCGGTGCCATGCCACGGCATGCAATGCGATGCTGTGTTGTGCACCGCTGTGCGATGCCATGTGTTGCGTTGCTATGCGTTGTGATGCAATACCTTCATTACGCAATGCCACGTCATGCTATGACCCGCTATGCTATGCCGTGTTCTACGCCATGCTTTTCCATCCATCGCGTACCCTCTTGGAATCATCGCCCTGTTCGACATCCGACTGCGCGAATAGATACGCCATGGTAATGGATGGGAGGGGAGGGGAGGGGAGGACGTCAGATGTCCATCCCCCCTCCCCCGCCCCCCTTCCCCCTCCCTCCTCCCTCCTCCCTCCTCCTCCTCCCTCATCCTCCTCCTCCTCCTCCTTCTCCTCCTCCTTCTCCTCCTCCTTCCTCCTCCTCCTTCTCCTCTCCTCCTCGACCTCCTCCTCCTCCTCCTCCTCCTCCTCCTCCTCCTCCCCCTCCTCCTCCCCCCCTCCCCCTCATTCCTCCTTCCTCCTTCCTCCTTCCTCCCTCCTGTCTCCTTCCTTCTTCCTCCTTCCTCCTTCCTCCTTCCTCCTTCCTCCTCATCCTACTCCTATTCCTCCTCCTCCTCCAGGCCCTCTCTCCTGCACCTCCTGAACACATTGGCTGGCCCCCTCCCTCCTCGCTCCGCGCGCAACCAGCCACCCAATCGGCTCGGGTGGCCCGGGACGCGCGAAAGAGAGAGGGAGAGAGAGGAGTAAGGGACGAGAGAGAGAGAGGGCGGAAGGTGGACGAGGGAAGGGGAGGAGGGAAGAGGGAGCAGAGAGGAGGGAGCAGGGAGAAGGGGAGAGGGGAGGAGGCAAGCTGGGTGCGCTCGCGCCATGTCTGACATCCGACATCTCCCAACCATGAAATCCCAGTGCGCTGACGTGTTACGCATCCGCGGACGCGTGTCAGAGCGAACCTGTAACTCTAGAAAAGGCCCCATCGTATCATACACAATCGGAGAAGGTGAGCGTAGGAAGAAGAAGAGGTGGCGGGTGCAGGATGATGAGCAGGAGGAAAAGGAAGATGAGCAAGGAGGAGCACGAGGACAAACTGCAGCAGCAGGCACTGGAGTGGAAGGAGCGGGAGGAGCGGAAGGACCAGGAGAAGGCGGAGGAGGTAAAGGGAGGGGGCGACAACGATGAGGAACGACTCCGATCCAGAACACTGGCCCGCGCTGGGGCGAGAACGCATTTCTGAACGACGGGAGCAAAAGCCCGATCCTAAACTCAGGCCCACGCTGCAGTGGGAGCGCCATACTGGAAGGACCAGAAACTTTCGGGCTGGGAAAAAAACACTTCAGAACAAAAAAAAAAAAAAAAAACAGTTTGGCCCCATCCTGCGAAAAAAAACACTACGCAGAGGCGGGCGCGCGACTCCGAGGCCGACTCCGTGGGAGAGGAGAATGGTATTCAGACCTACGAAACCAACCAACTGCCGATGCGGGGGTGGGGGTGGAACCAACCACGGGACAACCGTCGCGACAACCGTTTCCATTCATCGAACAACATCTATAGGTCTCGTTGTCGACGGCCTGACATGTATCGACCGATGATGTCAGTATGTACCGGTGTCATTGTATGTACAAACATATGCCGCTACCTGACGATCCCCACGATCTATAGTAAGGTCGTATTATATAAACGTAGATTTACACACACACACAAAACAAACCTATATACATATATATACATATGTATAAACATGTAAGAATGTGGCGTGCAGTGTCTGCGTACGTGCAAATACTTACAAGTGTGAATACATATAACTAGATGCATGTATGTACATATAATTACCCCAGTGCGACCCAATCTAGAAGGGAAAGCAGCATTAGTTGCTATGCTATACTATGCTATGATATGCCATGCTATGCTATGCTATGCTATGCTATGTCGTGCTGCGCTGTGCTATGCTAAGCTGTGCTATGCTATGCTATGCTATGCGCTGTGATATTATATGCTATGCTATGCTATGCTATGCTTGGCTATGGTATGCGATGCGATGCTATGCTAATGCAGCGCTGTGCTATGCTAAGCTAAGCTAAGCTAAGCTAACCCTCTAGGCAGAGCCTGGATAGGGGATTACACCCATGCTAATGCTATGTTCTGCTACGCTATGCTATGCTATGCTGCGCTGTGCTATGCTGTGCTGTGCTGTGCTGCGCTATGCTATGCTATGCTATGCTAAGCTGCGTTATGGTATGCTATGCTGGGCTCTGCTATGATATGCGATGCTGCGCTATGTTATACTACGCTATGCTATGCTATGTTGTGCTCTGCTATGCTAAAGCTCAGCAAAGCTAAGATGAAGGTAAGCTAAGCTGAAATTTACCTGAGCTAAGATGAGGCTAAGCTAAGCTAAGATGAAATAAGCTAAGCTAAGATGAGATAAGCAACGCTAAGCTAAGGGGACGTAAGTGGGGGAACCGCGGGGCGGATACTGGGGGAACCGCCCGGGGCGAGTTGCACTGCCCGGCCCTTTAAGCATACCGAGTAAGAACCCCTCTAGGCAGAGCCTAGGTAGGGGACAATGCATGTACATACATGTGCACAAATATATACATGTATATACATACACATATATGTACGTGCACATATATATATATATACATATATGCATAATGTATATATGTATACACACATGTGAGAAAACATGTTACACCACCGCTTTACTGTGGAAATTTCCCCCCTCTCTTGCTCCGGAACCTGGGGGTCTCCCCCCCCCGAAAATCCCCCCCCTGCTGGACCCCCCCCCTTTCCCCCGGCAAACCCCCTTCTTCCCTAACCCACCCCCCGTCCGGAAAACCGGGGGAGGGGTCACTATCGGTTCGAACACCCCCCCCCCCCTCCGGAAAACCGGGGGAGGGGTCACTACCGGTTCGAACCCCCTCCCCCCCAGAAAACCGGGGGAGGGGTCACTATCGGTTCGAACCCCACCCCATCCGGAAAACCGGGGGGGTCACTACCGGTTCGAACCCCCTCCCCCCTCAAAAAAAAACCAGAGAGGGGTCACTATCGGTTCGAACCCCCCCCCCCCTCTCGAAAACCGGGGGGGGTCACTACCGGTTCGCACCCCCCCCCCTCGAAAACCGGGGGGGACCACTACTGGTTCGAACCACTCCCCCCCCCCACGCTCACCGCCAGCACGCATCTCTGGGTCCCTACCACCGTCCGCACCAAATCCCCCACTGCTGTCCCCAGCACCACTGTCCTCACCACCACTGTCCCCGCTGTTCCCACCACCGTCACCTCTGTCCTCACCAGTGCCCCCACCACTGTCGCACTGTCCCCACTGTCCCCACCACCGTTCCCACCACGGTTCCACTCTCCCCACTTTCTCCACGGCCCCAACCCCTGTCCCACTGTCCCCACAGTCCCACTGTCCCACTGTCCCCGCCGCTGTCCAACTGAGCTGTCCCACTGTTCCCACCACTGTCTCCCCACTGTCCCCACCACTGTCCCTACTGTACCTTTGTCCCATTATCCCACCGCCGTCCTCGCCAACGCCCTCACCACTGTCGCCACCACCACTGCACCCTCCACTGTCCCACTGTTTCCACCAAATTCCCACTGTCCCAACACCACTGTCCCCACCACCACTGTCCCCACCACTGTCCCACTATCCCCACTGCTCCCACCATTGTCCCCGCTGTCCACACCAGTGCCCCCCACCAGTGTCTCACTGTCCCCACTCACCCCACCATTGTCCCACCACGGTCCCACTCTCCCCACTTTCCCCACGGTCCCCACCACTGTCCCACTGTCCCCACTGTTCCCACCACTGTCCCACTGTCCCCGCCGCTGTCCCACTGTCCTGTCCCACCGTCCCCACTGTCCCCATCACTGCCCCACTGTCCCCACTGTCCCCACCACTCTCCCCACTGTACTACTGTCCCACCACTGTCCCCACCACCGCCTTCACCAGTGTCCCCACCACTACCGTCCCCACCACTGTCCAACTGTCCCCACCACTGTCCCGCTGTCCCCTCACCAGTCCCCACCACCACCGTCCCCACCACTGCCCGCACCAATGTCCCACTTTCCCCGCACCACTGTCCCCACCACCACCGTTCGCACCACTGTCCCAACATCCCCACCATTCTCCAACTGTCCCGAGGAGCGGGCATCGTTTGCCGGCGGCGAGGGGGGGGGGGGTTCGAACCGGTAGTGACCCCCCCCCCGCCGGTTTTCGAGGTGGGTTGGGAGGGGTTCGAACCGGTAGTGAACCCCCCCGGTTTTCGAGGGGGTGGGGGTGGGGGGTTCGAACTGGGAGTGACCCCCCCCTCTTTTCATGATGGACTGGGGGTTCGAACCGGTAGTGACCCCCCCTGGTTTTCGAGGGAGGGGGGGACGGGC